GCCTTGCAGATCCCAAAAGCTAAGCAAGCCCTCTCCTACTTTGGGCAGAAGCACTCCAAAGAAAGCTCAGCTGCTGCAGGAAGCTGGGTTCTGGTGGGTCAGTAGAAGGTCTCCTTCCCTCAGACATTGCAGAACCAAGGGGCTAGCAACATCTCTAGGCAGGAAATGCTCTCTTTTGGAGATGTGGGACCAAGATCTTGGTGAGTTGTGTCTGTTAGAGGCCAAATTAACTTTCTTGCAGTAAGTGTCCTGACCATGTAGGTCCCATGGGACATAGCTGAACTCAGAAGCACAAAGTGTTGCTACCCAACAACTGACATTAGTGGGGGACAGATTTAAACCTAACAAAAGAAAGTACTTTTTTATGTAGTACATTGCTATCTTGTGGAATTCCTTGCCACAGGAAGGGTTATAGGCAGAGGGAATAGCCAGGTTCAAAAAGGGACTAGACAAATTCAAGGATGCTAGATCTATGAATAGCTCTTGAACAAAATGTTTGGAGATGCTTTCCCTTTGGCATCTCTAAACCAATAATGGTCGATACCATGGTGGGTAATGAATAGGGGATAGATCAGTGATTCTCAGCTAGGGTGCTGCAGGCACCCTGCTAGGGTGCTGCAGGAAAAATGCTGCAGGAAGGGTGTGGAGATAAGCAGATAAGGACAGGCTAAGGCTCTACTTGCCTGGCCCCTCTGCAAGAAGCTTTTGAAAGGGGTTGCTGCTCAGTTCACAAAAGTTCTGGAGGTTGAGAACCACTGCTCTAGATATACCTGGGTTAATGCTCTCCCATTAAAGCATTCACTGCTGCCACTGTTGGAGTTGGGATACTAAGCTAGATGGGCCATTAGTCTGACCCAGTATGGCACTTCTTACTTTTTTTATGTAAGGGCTCATTAGCCCCTCTGTCTGTGTGGTCCTAGGTGTGGCTGGTTCCCTGAAGCATATGTAAAGCCCATGGAGGAAATGAGACACTCGGAGGAGCCAACCACCAGGTAATGGGAGCTCAGCACACTTGTGCAGTTGCTCAAGTGCGTGTTTGTAAGTCGTGAAGGCAAGTGAATGTCCACCTGACACCATGTCCTGTGGGGAGCTGTGGGCTCAGGATCAGGCCTTTGTGCAAGCTCAACAAGCTGTCTAAGGCCACTGGTGCCCATGGGCACAGATTTCCAGGATGGCTCTCAAATATGGGCAAAACCTTTTTGGAGGCCTCCGCAACTCTGGTTAGGTGAATCCCCAATTCTACATTCCCCCTGGAGAGGCCTCAAAGCAGTGCTCCCCAGATCTCTGCTCTGCCCTTTCCACATTCTTCCTCCTCTTGGACTCTCACCCATCAACCTTCCACTCCTGCTCAGATCCTTCCCACTACGAAGTAGCCACAGCATGGATGATCTCCTGGACGGACCCAGCATCCCATCAGCAAGCAATTATTGGCACAATGCTGCCCAGCCCCAGTCACCAAGCTCCTTAGCCTCAGACAGTTGCAGAAGCAATGTGACAACCAATTCCTCTGACTCGAAGGTGAGTGTGTGTGGTGACAATCCAGCATCCCCCTTAGCTGGGATGGTGAGAGGTGACCTTTGGGGTTAGGGTGTGCCTGTCAGGAAATGCTGACCTTCTTTTCAGGTATGCACCTCTTCTGCTGAAGCTTATTGGGAAGGGGCAGCATCACCAATGCTGTCTACTTGTTTGACTAGTGATGTGTGAAGTGGGAATGAGCAGGCCAGGTTTAAGTCATGGGAACTCAGCAGGGTGGGAGCTTTATAGTGCTGTTCCTGACTACCCCCCTCCCACCTGATCTAATTCTAGTTCTCCAGGGCACAAATCCCCTCCCTGGTGCTCTCTGCTGTGGGTTGGCATTGTCTGCTCTCTGCATAGCTGTACCTGTGTACCTCCAGGTCCTCCCTGCTCTCCTTAACAGTAGCTCCTCTCTCCAATCCCAGGCTCCCCAGGCTAGAAGTAGCCCTGTGTCCCCCTCACTTCTCTTTCTCACCTACCAGGGACCCTTCAGCCTACTTCTCTTCTCCATGACTTCCCAGCCTGACTTCTGGTGGCTCCAGGGCAGCAGCTCTTTCTGCTAACAGTAGGACCAGGAGTGATGGAGTTGGGCTGGGCTGGGGACCAGCTAACAGAGATGCCATCCTTCTTTTCCATTGAAGCATAGTGGCCAGTGCTTTTGGGGGTCCTCTTCTGAAGGGTGGGGTGGGCCAGGCCAAGTTAAATAAAAATACAGCACCAACCTTGTGATCTCAGGAGGTTGGGGGAGAGGAAGGAAGGGAGTGGAGAAACATATCCCTTGAGTACCTGAGGTAGGGCAAGGGCAGATCTGTCTCTAGGGATTGGGGTATGGAGTCCACCTCTTTAGGTCACCGGTGCCAATCCATTCCCAGGCTGGAGGGAACTGGATGGTCCCAGGAACTGAGAAATCTGCAGCATTACATCCTGAGAAGTTCCAGGCCTGCCTAGTTCAGGGATCAAGGAACTTAGCCTGTCTCCTCTAGGTCACATGTTGGTTCCAGTCCAGCCCCAGGCAGGGGGAATGGGACAGCTCCTGGAATTCAAGACTGGGAGGTATAGAGCCTTTCGCTTCTAATTCTGATCCAGCCTGGATCAGCAGCAGTGGAGCCTGGCTCCCATCTCCTGGCTGTAGAATGCCTGGTGTGAAAACAGCTGGGATCTTTGTGGGGCCATTTATAGGCACTTTTGACAGTTCCACCCTGTGTGTGTTTGTGCGTGCATGCATGTCCCCTTCTCTTTGTGTGTCTAACTTGTAAAATGCACTTGCTCTTAGTTTTCTCCCTGTTGTCTCTCTTCATTGCAGAAGTCCTCTGCACTGGAACAACCCCCAGAACTCTTTCCTCGGTGAGTTGGTCTGAGGGCTTGGTGCTGTGTGGGTGCTATGCTATTCTTTGGAAAGGTCTAAGGACATGTATAAAGAAAAGGAAATGTGATGCCAGTGTCTCAAAACAAAGAAGTAAGGGTGATTGTGATCATTCCTGTAAGGCTAACTCATGTCCCAAGTAAAATAACAGAACAAAGAATGAGAGGTGGGGAAACAGATCTAGCAAGACCCCTGGAGCCACATCTATTCTCTCTTGGAAGAATAGAAGTAACATCTCCCAGGCTGAGGAGGTGACGTGTCCAGTTGTTCATGGCTGCCTGTTGGAGAAGGTATAATGAGTTAAAATGAAAGTGTAATAAGGAGTGATGGGATTTAATAAAAAGAAAGGGGAAAGCTGAGGTATCTCCTGACCAAGAGGATGATTGGTCAGTCAATTTTTGTTCTCCAAAAGAAGTGGTGGCAGCATTTTTAATATAGGCCAAACAACAGAGAGCAAACTGTTCCCTGGAGCTTGACTAGAGGATTTGCTACATCTTCTCTGTCTCTAATATTTGATTCAGAGAGTATGAAATAGGTGAGACTTTTTGGGAGAAGCCAGAGGGATGGGATGCGGCAGAACAATTGGAGATATTTCAGGGCACAGAGCACAGTTACAGCAGCCTAGTCTGGTTTACGTGGGATGGATACACGGAAAAGTCACCCCTCAAAGTCAAGAGTAACTGTACTCTAGTGTAAATTACCCTGGTGTACAAGTAGTGTGTCCTCAGCCCTAGTCAAATTCATCCCAGAGTATTCCCTGGCTGGTTGCAAACAGACTATTATTGGCTGCCCTGCCTCCTAGTGGCAAAGTACTGGAATAGCCCATATTGTGCACAGCTATTACAGGAGAACTGTGGCTCTCAATTGGATGTTGGTTTACAAAGCTGATGCAAGTTACTCTGGTGTTATGCATCTGCACCTTCAATCCTGCTTTGCAGTGACTGAAGCAAATTGAAAGAGAAGCCCTGGCAACCCAAGCCTGGGAGAGGAAGGGAAGCTGTGCTCCCTTCCTCTCTGACTTAAGCACTTGCCGCTGCCCCTGAAGGCATGCAACTCCATCATCACTGACCAATTGCTCTTCTTATGAATTATACAGAGAGGCTAATGGGGAGGGGGAGGGAGGTGCTATCTCTCCAATCTCCCTTGGAGAAATAGCAAAATACCCTTGTGGAAGAGATGTATTAACTTGGGATTCATCCACTGAATACCACTGGGAAGAGAACACATACTTCCATCCCAGAAGCATGTCCCACACTTAGTCGTGAGGGACACTGCAAGTCCCCTGGAAAAGGGCGCTGCTATCCAGCAGTACTAAAATGGCCTGCTCTCTGCTACTGTGGTGGCTGGATAATATTTCCAGAGCCTTTATTCCTCCTGCTTCCTTTCTTCTTTCAGAGGCACCAACCCATTTGCCACAGTCAAGTTGCGTCCCACCGTCACCAACGACCGCTCGGCCCCAGTCATCCAGTGAAGCAGGATCATGGAGAGCAGCAGGTTCTAAGGGGGCAATTGGAAAGAAGGCTGGCACTAACTGAGTGCGGTTTCTCTTGGCCAGGCCAACCCCTAATCATGGGGCTTCTCCCTTATCCCATCCTCTACATCTGTTTCACTATAGCAATAAATATGATTCCCTGGCGGGGGGGTTGGAGTTCTTTTTGGGTTGACCTGTGTGTGATGGTGGTTGCACTGTTGTTGAGTGGAAGGCAGCCTGTGATACTGGGGCTGGAGGTATAGGGGGAGAGGTTTATCAGTGCTTGAACCCTGGGCCTTGGAGGAGGGGGATGTCTCTCACAGCTCAGAGTGCCTTCTCTGCATGGGGGCAGTGTGAGCAAGGCATGAAAAGGAACCTTTTGCACTTGGAAGGAGCAGCAGTGAGAGCTGTGTGGCCACTAAAGGGGTGGATTTGGATCAAGAAAGTCCAGGAAAGCTGTGATTACCACTCCCCACCCCCTGTCCCCCAACACGCACAGTATGCTGGTCTCCTCTCAGCTCCTCAACCTCAGTCAAGTGGAAGCTGTATTTAAAGAGGGCATCTTGCTGATAGTCCCTGTTCCCTTCTTAACCACCCTTTGGCCCAGCAGCCCCATGCTTCAAGTGAGAGGAGGCAGGGGAAGCCCAGCTGAGCTGCTGTGCTCTGTGGTTTGATGCTGCAAATAAAGACAGATTTTTAAAATAAAATGGAAATCTGTATCTCTCTCTTTCCCAGTTGTCTCTCCAGGAGGTGTGAGATGATGTGGCTCTCAGGATGTATGTTATGGAGACACCTCATCCATTCCTCCCCCCTCTTCTTTTAATTTATCTTTAACTGAATGGTTATGAGCCCAGATTCATAGTACCGACACTTGCGTGAATAAAGTTGTAATGTGAGCTTCTGGGGAGGGGTGAGCATGAGAGCACCCAAGGGAGAACAGCAGTTGTGTTGGGCCTCGGTTTTGAACTTCTGCAGCCTCCTTACTCCTTTAGGCTTGTGACTCCGGTGCAGAAGGCAGCTCCTACTTGAGTGCCTGAACTTTGCTGCCTCCTATGGTGCAGCAGAGCCTCACTTCCTAGGATTGTTCAGGGTGCTGCCATACTAATATTGGGCCTGGTTATCTCGGAAAACCAGAGCAGTGGGTGTCCACGCCATGCAGGAGACTAAGGGGGTGCCATGCCCTGAAGGAGCTGTAGGAGAGGCCCAGAGTCCCCCCAGACCCATTGCTCAGAGGTTGGACTGTGGACTTTTAAATTATCAGTCCGCTTTAATGAAAACAGTTGTGGTAGCCACAGCTCCAGCTGGGTTGCTGTTGAGTGTAGGTGAAGCATGCCAGGGGTGGGGGTGTGGATGGAATATTGTTTCTTCCCCATTGTGCAAGCTCCCAGCACTCCTTGCTTCAGGAAGCTTCCAGACAGATGCTACATTGGCCCAGAAACCCTCCCAGGTGTGTTGTTCTCAAAAGGAGTTAAATTTATAGCAATATAGCTTGTTTATTCAGAGAGCTCCTTTTAACCTGCTCATTGGCTGTTGCCTCTGCTTCTTTCTTGGGCCCATGTAACAACTTATACCCAACACACTTAAGGGTATCCACACATCTTCCTCCTTTACATGCAACGTATCCCATGTAAACTAACATTGAAAGTGTAGTTCATCTCATTGCTGAAGCACATTTTAACGGGTCTCTATTAGTCTTTGTGTTGGGCTTTTTAGCTCTAAGTGATCTCAGTTTCTCTGGACTCTCAGTCCTTGTTGGTTCAGTTCTTGCTTGGTTTCCTTGTTCAGATGTCTGCTTCTGTGTCATTTTCAATCCCCTCTCTTGTTTCTTGTTGCTTTGCTGTTAACTCTGTTTCCTTTGGTGAATCTTGTGATGCTTTTTCTTTTCTCTCCTTTATGACCTGCACATGTTGTCTGTTCCTTCTTAACACCTGTCCTTCTGGTGTGACTACTTGATTGGATCTGGGAGCTGCTTGATGGGAAACTAGTACTTTTTGTTTGCATGTTTGTCCATCTGAAATAAGCACATTATCTTTGTATAGTTGTGGTAACTCCTAGGGCCATGTGAAGCTTCGGTCCCTGATTCAATTCGGCAGAGATTCAGCCCAATTCGGTAACTGAATCTCTGAATCTGAATCAAATCAGAGGAGAGATTCGGAGATTTGGACATAGACACAGCTTTAAATGTTTTTTCTACACACCTCTAGGCAGCAGGGGCTCGTGAGTGCTGCAATGCTGGGGCACATGGAGTGTCCCACAGAAGCATGGCGGGCTCCCCAGCGTGGTTGGCAGCAGACTGGTCCACTTCGGAGTCTGCCGGGTTGGCTGCTTCTGGTCCACTTCGGGGTCTGCTGGGGAGCACACTGGGGAGCCCCCCACGCCCCCCGGAAGTACTTCCGGTCCACTTCCAGGTTCACCGCCGAGCACATGGACGGCCCCCCTACACTCCTGTAGGCTGCTCCATGCACCCCAGCATCACAGTGGTCACGATCTCAAGGTATGTAGAAAAAACTTTTAAAGCTGTGTCTATGTCCGAATCACCGATTGTCCAAATCTGAATTGAATCTTCAGATTCAGATTCGGCCGAGTCGAATCAGGGACAGTGATCCAAATCAATGAATTGAGTCACTGTCCCTGATTCGGGCTGAATCTGAATGAAATAGGGCCTGCTTTGCATACCCCTAGTAACTCCCCAGAACCCCTGTCATAGTACCATTTTTGTTTGAGTTTAATTTTTTTTTTTTTTTTTTTTAAGTTTTCACGTTTTGCTTTTCATTCTGATGAGCACCATCCACAAGATTTGGCAGCCTAGTTTTGAGTTTCCTGTTAAACAACATTTCTGCTGGGGACAACCCACGTTTCATGGGTGTTGCCCTGTAATTTAAGTGTGACAGGTAAACATCGGTGTGTGAATCTGTAGCTCTTTTCAACAATTTCTTCACTATTTGTACTTTATTTTCCAGCAGACCATTGGCTTGTGGGTAGGCAGGACTTGAAGTGTTGTGATGGAATCCATATTAGTTTGCAAACTCTTTAAACTCAAGATGATTGAATTGGGGTCTGGTGTCTGTTCTCACAATTTGTGGAATTCCATGTCTAGCAAAAATTGATTTGATGCAAGTTATGACATGGCTTTCTGTTGTGTTTTTGAACGCAATTTCAGGATAGTGAGAATAATAATCCAGCACTAATTCATGCAGGAAAAAATTATGTATAAGTCAATGCCCACTTATAGCACGGAGTTACGGGCTCCTCAATGACCATCGTGGGCTATTTTCTTTGCACTGATCTGTACTTTAGGCACGTTGTACAAGCCTTCACAGCATCTTCTATGTCACTATTTATGTTGGGCTGATATAGAGCACCCCTTGCTTTCCTTTTGCATTTTTTCAATGCCTAGATGACCCTTATGTTTTTTGTTTAACATGTCTTTCTTTAGCACTGCTGGAACAACGAGTCATGAGCCTTTGAACAAAATGTCATCCAGTACTGACAGCTCTTCCTTGGACTGAGAATACGGGCCAGGTATATGTTTTCCAGGCCAACCAGCACAAATAGTTGTTATCACTTTTTGCAATGTGGTGTCCTGAGCAGTAGCTTCTGCAATTAGTGCCCACATTTTACCTGTGATAGTACATGTTAATCTAATGAAGATTGATTCCTATGTTTGAGTCTGGAATTGTATTGTTTTCCATCATGTCATATGCTCTGGACAACAAATCTGCAATAAGTAGATGTTTTCCTGGCATGCACTGTATGTCTGGATCATACATTTGCAATTGAAAGAGAATTCTCTGTAATCTGGGTGGCATGTCTGATAACCCTTTCTTTGCTATAGTTACCAGAGGTTTATGATCAGGTTCAGCTATCCCAGGCTTCCCATAGATAAATATATGAAATTTCTTATAGCCATATACCAGAGCTAAACTGTCTCTCTCAATTTGTGCATATAAACACTGTGACTTAGTGCCCTAGATGCATAGGATACTGGTCTCCAGCTAGCTCCATGTTTTTGAAGCGAAGCTGTTCTGATTCCTTTTCTAGAAGCCTCTGTTGAGAAATGTAATGGGTCTTTTAGAGTCATTGTATTTTAATACTGGAGCTTTCATTCTTTTTTCCTTCGAGTTTTTAAATTCAGCATCGTGTTCATGTTCCCATATCCACTGGTCATTCTTTTGTAGTGATCTAAGGTGTTTGGTATAATTTGACTACTAAATTAGAATAGTAGAAAAGAATAGCACTAGATTATGTACCTTCAATACGTCCTTTGGAAGGTATTGCCTTTGGAGGTTCCCTTTTGCAAAGATTACTAGGAATGATCAAATTTGTAGGTAGATATTACAAATGTGATCATTCCCAGTAATTTTTGCACTCCTTCCTTATCTGAAGGGGCTGGCATGTTTGTAATGGCTTTAAAACTTGCAGAATCAATTTGCACCCCTTTCTCAGAGACCGTTTCTCCCAGATACGTTATTTTTCTGTCTCTGAACTTGCGTTTTTGTTTGTTCAGTTTCTAACCTGCTCTGTGAGCTTTTTCCAATACCTTTCTTTGCCTCAAGTCATGTTCTTCTATAGTATTTCCTCAAACTAATACATCATCAATATAAACCATAGTTCCATCAAGATGTTCAAAAATTTGTTGCACCTTTCTGTGAAATATTTCAGATGCAGAACACAGTCCAAAAGGAAGCCAACAAAAGCAGTAACTTCCGAAGGGCATACTGAAGGTACATAATCTAGTGCTATTCTTTTCTAGGGAAACTTGCCAAAACCCAGAAGAGGCATCTAAAGTGAAGAAATATTTATCTTCTGCCACGTTGCCAAAAACCTCGTCTTTGGCGGGAATGGAAAAATGCTCCATTTTGATGTACCTGCTCATTTGCTTAGGATCTGGACACAATCTCAAGGATCCATCTTTTTTTCTATTACAACCAGTGAATGAACCTAAGCAGTTTGTTGCTCTACTTTTCCTATTATGTCCATGTTAACTAATCTATTTAATACCTTTCTCAGTTTCTCCCTTAGTACAAGGGGAACATTTCTTGGAGTCTGTATGGTGAGAGTATTTGGTTTTCTTAATTCTATCTTGTCCTCAAGTTGACAGTTTCCCTATGCCTTGAAACACATCATAAAACTCTTCTTCTATGTTCTTGCTTTCTAGTCCCTCATTGGCATCCATTCTCTTTATCAAACCTAGAGTTTTACATGTTCGCAATCCAAGAGTTAACACTAGCTTTCCTGGGACTGTTACAAACTGAACGTTTACTACATTATCCTTGTGTCTAACATGCAGTGCACAGACATCCTTGGTTGCATTCATGTTCCCAGTATATGCTCTAAGTTTCACTTTGTTATTCTCATAATACACAGGTTTAGTTTTCATTTTTTGAATAATGTATTCTGGTATTACATTGACCTGTGCCCATGCATCTAATTTAAAAGTTACCAGTAGCCCATTGTTGTCCAGGGTGACTGCCCAGTCCTCAGAAAAATGAACTTCTTGCATTGTGCCAATAAGGATTTCTTCTTCATTGCATAGAGCATGCACCTGCTGTTTCTTGTGTGGTGCATCTTGCTCCTTTCTACAAACTCTTGCAAAGTGATTGAATTTTTTGTAACTGTTGCAGTGCTTACCAAATGCAGGGCATTGCATGGGTTTGTGGCAACCCACACAGCATCTGCAGCTGACCATTGTTTCTTCAAGCAATTCTCTTTGGCCTCCACTTGCCAGCTTCATAGTGAGGTCTGCCTTTCTATATTGTTTGTGTTGCCTTAGGTTTTTGCAGTCTTGTAATCCTGTCTAGTTCAGCTTGTTCTGTGTTTTCCTCCAGTTTCTGCAGCCTGGCATTTGTTATCTCAGCTGCTTGCCACTGTCTAACTGCCTTTTCCAGATTAAGTTCAGGATCCTCTAGCAGTTTGATCCTGAGGCTTGTATTCCTTATATCTAATACTATTTGGTCTCTGATCGTGAACTGTGTTCTCCAAAAATGCATGTCTGGCTCAGCAGTCTGAGGTCTTTGACAAACTCCTCTATTGTCTCACATTCTTTCTGCTTCCTCATGTGGAAATTATACCATTCACAGGTTTCGTTCTGCTTAGGATACAGTGTTCCTCACTTTTTTATTACTGTCATAGCTTTTCTGTTCTGCTTCTGACAATTGTATAATAAGACTGAGCTTCTGGGCCCCCTATATTTAAAAAAATAGCTACCTTGAGTGGATCTTCCTTCTCTGTAACACGACTGGCCATCATATATATGAAGCTCTGTTTAAATTTATTCCACTAGTCTGCTGCATTGCTAGACAGCTTTAACTCCTCTGGAATTCTGAGATGCTCCATTTTTTCTTTCTTTGCACCCCACTTCTGATACCATGCGTTGTTCTCAACAGACCAAGGAATTAAGCTAATAGAACAACAAAACCCTCATAGCCTTCTGATCTGCTGTGCTCTTCCTGCATTTCCTGGGACAACATAACAACTTATAACTAACACTATTAAAGATATCCACGCAGAGCACATCTCAAATTGGCATGTCTTGGGGAGGAAAGATAAAATTCCAAACACAGGGCGGACCACAAGATCAAACTGGAAACCATTTGCCCAGACCTAGACTTGAACTCCCAACCTAGGGACAGGCATTACACACAAACTGGTTTAAGTGACCAGAAACTGTTTTAAACCTGCAACAGAGCATAAGTTCAGTGTACGTAAACCAGTTTCAAAATGGCTGAAACTGGCTTAAGATAAATCTGGTTGAATGTAGTATCAGACTTAACTGATTTGGGTCAAACTGGTTTATGCAATGTCTGTCCCAGACCCCTTCCTGGTTTAAGTTCAACCAGAGTCCCCCAGCATCCCAGATGCTTTGCAGCTGGGCTAGCCTAGACTCTGCTCTCTGCTCCAAAGAACAAGCTGGCTCCACCTCTCTCCTCCCTAGCCAGAGCTCCAGGGGAGACTGCAAGTACAGCAAGGTCTGCCAGGCTTTCCTCCCTGCTCAAGCAGGGATTCCCCACTCCCTCCTATCTCCCATATGGGCATGTGGTATGCTAGCTAATGCTGAGAGATGTCTGTGTAAGGAAGACAGGACAAAGGCAGACAGAACAGTGTCCACTTAGGTCTTTTCAGAGCTAATCAACAGGGCAACTGGTAATGTCCTTCTGTTCCTTCCTTGGAAAAAGCTGTTTAAGAAGAGCTTGAAGGGTTTTTGAAGCTGAAAGCTTGCTTAATAACTATTCTCTAACCATTTGGGTTGGTCTAATAAAAGATATCAAATTCACCCAAGGAACCTTGTCTGCCTATGAACTAATGAGAGGCTTTTGTTTTGCTGATGGACTGATTAACACAGTGGTTTGCTAATGGGCTGATAATAATGTGGTTTTATCAGCCCCCTGCTGGTTTGCAGCCCTGTCATGTTTGTAGACAGGGAGAGGGAGATTGGAAAGCTCACTATTACCAACAGATGCATGTACTGCACTCCACCCCCCCACCTTTGTCTCAGAGTGCTAGCCCAGGGCTGGGGTCTGACAGCACTCCCACCCCATGAGCAATGAGTGGGTAAGAGCCTTGGACTGTGCAGGCAGGGTGGGAGTTTAAACCCCAGCCATAATCAGAGCATCCTGCCAGGGCCTGGCCATGTCTGTCCCCTGCCAGTTTAGCACTGTAGAAGGGAAGGGAGGGCTGCTGTAGCACCCCCTGGCTTCTAGCCTGAGCCACTGCAGGCATGTGCCTGTATTTCTGTAATGAAAACGGAATGTCTATCCATCTCCAAATTGGTTCAAGCTTTGTAGGTTAGACTAATCTACAAATATTGAATCAATTCAGGCTCAGGTTTTTTTGAATGTCTGTCCCTAGCCTATATGACCAGCCGAACATTCAGGCCCTTCAGTCACAGAACAAACCTGCTACCTAGCTTCCCTACAGGCCAAGGTCTCAAATTACTACCTGCCAGAAACCTGCACAAACACCACACAGCCCTTGGGTGCCTTAACCCCCTCCCCCCCCCAAAACAAAACAAAACAAAACAAAACAAAACAAAACAAAAAAACAAAACAGGTCAGGTGAAGAGGCCATCTACCCAGCAAAAAGAGGCCACAATCAGCCACAAACTCTGCCATTTCACCTGCCAGCCTGATGTTCAGCCTCAGAGATGCTTTGCAAGCCCACAGGCCTGCTGCCTTCTTACCTGCAAGGGCTTGAACACCCATCTGGCCCCAAACTAAACAATTCAAAAAACACATTTTGGCCACACCCACTCACCCATCCTCAGACATTCCCCTGGCTCCCCCTGAAGCCTGGCCTAAAACCTCAGGCTGGGCATGGCATGCTGAAACCCCCAAAGGTTTCAGCATACCATGCCAACCCAAGCCCTGCATCTTTGCAAGTCAGACCCCTGGCACTGGTCAGATGGGCTCTGAAGTGCATCTCAGCTTGGCTTCTCTTGGGGCAAAAATATAAAAGGTTAACCCAGCCAGGGCCAGAATTTGAGACTTAATATCTCTTGCACATGCCCAGGCTTCAACTGCCAGCCTAGTAGCTCAGCCCTCAGGTTCAAGCCCAAGAAAAAGGGAGGATGGCCTTCCTCCCTCTCAAACTCAAACCTCTCAAACTACCACTGGCCAGAAACATACCCCCCTTCCCCCCCACCAACGCACTCTGCTGCCCCTTCAAAAAAAGAAATTGATGGGCCATATAAAAGCCCTGTTTGCCCAGCAAAAACAGGCCACGAGCAGCCACAAACTCTCCCAGTCCATCTTTCAGCCTGATTGTCACCGAGCAGCATGCTACACGTGCCAACCCCATAGTGGGCGTGGACTCAGGAGGCTTGGCAAGAACACAGTATGATAAAGTGCGCAGCATGGCAGGAAATAGCTGGTTCTTACTGACAGGTGTGCAGCTGGTGAGGATGGAGTGACATGGGCACAAACACCATGCTTTATAAGCACATGCACACTGAGGCTTCAGGGCGCATGGTTTATGATGTCACTATCTGTGCCCATCACCAGATATAAAAAGGCAAGTGAAGCCAGCCAGTGAAGGGAAGGAGAGAAGCATCTCCCTCACATTTCTGGCAGAATCATGGTATGCAGCCATGCTGGTTCCTCAGCCTGGAGACCCAGAGGGATCTCCAGCCATCAGGCGGTGCAGGGCAGCTCCAACACTCTGATGCCAGAAGACAAAACCCCAGTAAGTATCATGGGTGGAGCCTCAGGCCAGAGCTCGGTGAACTGATGCCCCTCATACAGGATCATGATACCACAAGACTGATCCATCAAGGGTAATGTACAAGATGGAAACTTTGGCAATGAGGATAAGGAGTCCTGACTCTGAGCAAGAGTAGGATTCTCTATACTGGACTTAAGTGACAACAGTGAAGCCAGGAAAGTGGTATAGCTCCAAATTGATTGTGGGAATGATGATGGGCGAACACTCATAATAAATTGACAAAATTGATTCGATTGAATGAGAAATATGATGAATTATTCAAGCATTTCATTTAGTAGATTATATATTTATTTGATTGATTAATGTCTCTCTCTCTCCAAATACATGAATTGAGAGTCTCATGAGGTCCAGAATTCCAGCAGACCCATGACGGACTGAGTTAGTGAAATGATAGCCTCTATAATGTATGAGTGAGGCTAACTATAGGGAGACTTCCCAGGGGTGGGTCGCTCAACATGCCTTGACACCAGAGCAAGGAAGGGTGCCAGACAAGAACTTGATCTTAAATAACAAGGCACCTCTTGTTTTGGCATAATTGGGTACACTGATGCTCAACCTCAGATATGCTTCACAAGGCCACAGGCAGCACCTTCTTACATACTAGGGCCCGAATGCTCTCAGCTGCCCCAAAACTAAAAACTTCATAGATTTCATAGACATTAGGGGCTGGAAGGGACCTCACAAGATCATAAAGTCCAGCACCTCTGCCATAGGCAGGAAGGCTGCTGGAGTCAAATGATCCCAGCACTATAAGCATCCAAACGGTTTTTGAATGAGTCCAGAGTAGGTGCTTGCACCACCTCTTGGGGAGTCTGTTCCAGACTCTGGACACTCAGACTGTAAAGAAGTTTTTCCTTATGTCCAGTCTAAGTCGGCCTTCCAGAAGTTTGTGGCCATTAGACCTTGTTATCCCTTGGGAGGCCCTTGTGAACAACTGCTTTCCCAAATCCTGGTGCACACCCCTTATATACCTATAGGCTGCCACAAAGTTCCCCCAGGCCTTCTCTTCTCCAGGTTGAAGAGTCCCATGTCCCTCTGCCTCTCCTCATAAGGCTTGCTCTCTTGGCCTTTGATCATGTGGGTGGCATGATCAAAGGCCAAACAAAAACATTAAAATAATGCATTTTGGTTTCACCGACACCCATCCTCAGACATTGTAAGGGTTCCCACTGAAGCCCTGCCTAGGATGCAGGACTTGCTGTGGCATGCTGAAACCCCTTTGGCATGTCATGCCATGCTCTGCATTTTTGCAAGCTGGAGCCCTGGCGACTGGTCAGATAGGCTCTGGAATGCATCTAGGCTTGGCATGTCTTGGGGCAGAAAAAAAACAACTTAACCCAGACAGGGCCACAAACTGAGACTTAAGATCACTTGCCCACATCCAGGCTTGAACTAACAGCCTTTTTGTCACCAGCATGCAAGACCTGCCTGCCCCCAGTAATCATGGACCATCTTTGCACTGGACCCTCCCCAAGATGCACAAGAAACAAAACAGCTCCAGGTGAGACGCACCTCCAACACTTCAGCCAAAGCTGTCTTTCAAGTCCCCAAAATGATCAGCACACCTGCCCCCAGTAACCGAAGTCCCCCACAGTCCATCTTCTTCTCACTAGACCCTCACCATGAGGTACAAGCCCCAAATCAACTCCAGGTCAGACACACCTCCAATCCCCCTCTACCAAAGCCTCCTTTCAAGCCCCCACAAAACAACTGACACAGCTACACCCAGTCAGACAGCCACTGTACGTGGCACAGAGCAACCACTTGTCCCCAATAACCAAAGGCCCCCAGAGTCTTCATTCTGCACACTGGATCTGTGGCCGGCTGGTAGGGGGTGCTCCTGTGCTGAGCCGCCTGCCTCTGCGCTCAACTGCTTACCAGCTTCGAGTGCCTCCCTTGGGGCACCTCATGTCTGGCCAACCACCTTTCTGGAGCGCACCTGCAAGCCTGGGGGTAACCACTGACACCCCCTGCCCCCCTGGACTCAGGTCTCTGTCAGGGCCCCAATGCCACCTGGCATACACAAGCCTTGTGGACCTTGTGATATTGGGGAGCTTTTATTAGCCAGAAGCATTCACTATCAGCCTCCCGAGTGGGAGGAGAGTAAAATAGTAGAGCTCACCTTAGTGGGTCCCTTCCCTCTTAAGCCCACACAGTGAGAGCTGCTAAAACTGATAGATTTATTGATCAAAAAGGGATGGGGAGAGGAAGGAATACCAATAGCAAAATATAGAAAGGAAACCAGCTTGAGCAAATCTGAGTGGCTTGTCTGCCTTTGGCCACGTGACCGGATTACAGTCAACTAATTCCTAGTTAGGTTTCTGGTAAGTTACTCACTTCTGGATCCTGAGTATGAGCGAGGGCTTCTCAAGTCCATGCTGCTCAGTGTGTCTTTCAAATGTCCGCCCCCTTCTTCCTGGAGGGGACCTCTTAAATAGCCCTTCTGACATCACCTGCTGGCTCCAACCAAGGCCAGGTGTTGTTTTATGCCGACCAACAAATCTGAAAAGCATCACACATTGACCAGGACTCAAGCCCCTGCCCCCAGGTCATGAAGTTAAAGTTCAAACCATACGGAGGTCAAATTCCCTCCCTCGTACCTGCAGTCAGTCATGTACGCACTAACCTGGGGCAACGCAGTTGACAGACAGGTGAAAGGACAAAGAGAAAGGAAAAAAACAAACCAAAAAGAGAGGCTGGAATGGCGTTCTTTCACAGGATCCTCCTCATGACACACATGCAACAAAACAGCCCCAGGCAGGACACCCCCAACCCCTCAGCCAACGCCACCTTTCAAGTCCCCAGAATGATAGACACACGTACCCTCAGTCATAGGCAGCCACGGTCGGTAGCACAGAGAACCTGCCTGCCCCTGGTAACCAAAGTCCCCCACAGTCAATCTTCTGCGGGCTGGAGCCTCCCTATGATGCACAGGCCCCAAAACGACCCCAGGCTGGACACCCCTCCAACCCCTCAGCCAAAGCTGGCTTTCAAGTCCCCAAAATGATTGGAAAAACCAACTCCCAATAACAGGCAGCCACTGTATGTAGGACAGAGGATCTTCCCACCCCAGTAACCATTGTTCATCTGCTGTTCACAGGACCCTCCCCAGGATGCACAAGCCTGAAACCAACCCAAGGAGGGACACACCTCCAACTCCTTCAGCCAAAGCCACCTTTCCACCCCCCAAAACGATCAGCACACCTACAGGCAGTGTCAGTATGAAACACAGAGGACCTGCCTGCCCGCAGTAACCAAAGTCCTCCACAATCCATCTTCTGCGCACTGGAGGCCCTAGCCACCGCGAAACACAAGCCCTTCTAGAACTAAAAGGGACATAAGCATCCACCTTGCCTTAGTACCACCAGCAACAGATATACCCTGTACATAGCACAAAGGTCCTACCTGCCCCAATAAACCAAGTACAACAAAGTCCATCTTCTGAACACTGATGTCTCCCCTTGACACACAAGCCCAAAACTAACCTCAGGAGGGACACACCTCCAACCCCTCAGCCAAAGCCTTCTGTGAAGCACCCCACAACCATCTCACCTAGCCCTGCTCCAAGCTAGCATAACACCTCGTCACCCCCACAAACCCAAAACCCTTTTCGAACTAAAGGGATGTAAGCATTCACCTGGCTGTAGTAGCACCAGGGACAGCTACCCCTATACTTGACACAGAGGCCATGCCTGCCGTAATAAACCAAGTTCCACACAGTCCATCTTCTGAACACTGACACTTCCCTTTGACACACAAGCCCGAAACCATCCCTAGGCTGGACACATCCAACCCCTCAGGCAAAACTTCTGTGAAGCACACCAAAACTGTGTGCACATGTAGCCCCACTTGAAAGTAGCCTAACTCCAGGCTCTCCAAAACCCAAAGCCTTCTAGACCTGAAGGGTCATAAAAATCCATCTGGCCTCAGACCTGAAAGGGTCGTCCGCCCACTTGCTGAGCCTGTCCAGGTCAGCCTGGATCCCCCGCCTGTCTTCTGGTGTGGATG